ACAAACACACAACACAACACATATATACACACAACAACACAACACATATAACACACACAACACAACACATATATACACACACAACACAACACAATATATTACACACACACAACACAACACATATATACAACACACACACACAACACATATATACACACACAACACAACACATATATACAAACACACAACACAACACATATATACAAACACACAACACAACACATATATACAAACACACAACACAACACATATATACAAACACACAACACAACACATATATACAAACACACAACACAACACATATATACAAACACACAACACAACACATATACAAACACACAACACAACACAATATATACAAACACACAACACAACACATATATACAACACACACAACACAACACTATATACACACACACAACACAACACATATATACACACACACAACACAACACATATACACACACACAACACAACACAATATACAACACACAACACAACACATATACAAACACACAACACAACACATATATACACACACACAACACAACACATATATACACACACAACACAACACATATATACACACACAACACAACACATATATACACACACACAACACAACACATATATACAAACACACACACAACACATATATACACACACAACACAACACATATATACACACACAACACAACACATATATACACACACAACACAACACATATATACAAACACACAACACAACACATATATACAAACACACAACACAACACATATATACACACACACAACACAACACATATATACAAACACACAACACAACACATATATACACACACACAACACAACACATATATACACACACACACACACACATATATACACACACAACACAACACATATACAAACACACAACACAACACATATACAAACACACAACACAACACATATATACACACACAACACAACACATATATACACACACACAACACAACACATATATACACACACAACACAACACATATATACACACACAACACAACACATATATACACACACAACACAACACATATATACACACACACAACACAACACATATATACACACACAACACAACACATATATACAAACACACAACACAACGCATATATACACACACACAACACAACACATATATACAAACACACAACACATATATACACACACACAACACAACACATATATACAAACACACAACACAAACATATATACACACACACAACACATATATACACACACACAACACAACACATATATACAACACACACAACACATATATACACACACACACAACACAACACATATATACAAACACACAACACAACACATATATACAAACACACAACACAACACATATATACAAACACACAACACAACACATATATACAAACACACAACACAACACATATATACACACACACAACACAACACATATATACACAACACACAACACATATATACACACACACAACACAACACATATATACAAACACACACAACACATATATACACACACACAACACATATATACAACACACACAACACAACACATATACACACACACACACACATATATACACACACACAACACAACACATATATACACACACAACACAACACATATATACACACACAACACAACACATATATACACACACACAACACAACACATATATACACACACACAACACAACACATATATACAAACACACAACACATATATACACACACAACACAACACATATATACAAACACACAACACAACACATATATACACACACACAACACATATATACACACACACAACACAACACATATATACAACACACAACACATATATACACACACACAACACAACACATATATACAAACACACAACACAACACATATACACACACACACAACACATATATACAACACACACAACACAACACATATATACAAACACACAACACATATATACACACACACAACACAACACATATATACAAACACACACAACACAACACATATATACAAACACACAACACAACACATATATACAAACACACAACACAACACATATATACAAACACACAACACAACACATATATACACACACACAACACAACACATATATACAAACACACAACACATATATACACACACACAACACAACACATATATACAAACACACAACACAACACATATATACACACACACAACACATATATACACACACACACAACACAACACATATATACAAACACACAACACATATATACACACACACACAACACAACACATATATACAAACACACAACACAACACATATATACAAACACACAACACAACACATATATACAACACACAACACAACACATATATACAAACACACAACACATATATACACACACACAACACAACACATATATACAAACACACAACACAACACATATATACACACACACAACACATATACACACACACACAACACAACACATATACAAACACACAACACATATATACAAACACACAACACAACACATATATACACACACACAACACAACACATATATACAAACACACAACACAACACATATATACAAACACACAACACAACACATATATACAAACACACAACACAACACATATATACACACACACAACACAACACATATATACACACACACAACACATATATACACACACAACACAACACATATATACAAACACACAACACAACACATATATACACACACACAACACATATATACACACACACAACACAACACATATATACAAACACACAACACATATACACACACACACAACACAACACATATATACACACACACAACACAACACATATATACAAACACACAACACATATATACACACACACAACACAACACATATATACAAACACACAACACAACACATATATACAAACACACAACACAACACATATATACACACACACAACACAACACATATATACCGTACATACATATCCCACCCATACAAAACAAAACATGAGTCCACATAGCAGGATAAAAAAGTGGTATGGATGGTCCATGTGCATAAGTAACTGTTACTCATAGATAACAGAACAAAATAGTAGCTCTGCAAGTGCATAGTATGATAGATAAATAAAGAATTATGATAAAAAAGCAGTCAAGTGCCATATATATATATATATATATATATATGTATATATATATTACAATAAAGAGAGATGTATCTGATGACTATTAAAATAAGATGTGTTTGTTTAATTTGGGTAAAGTGTGATATACAGTTTTTGTAAACATTAGCATAAAAGTAAAATTAATTTAGTAAGAATGTGTAATACTGAAAACACACGACAGGTGGCAGCACCGCACCATCAGGCTGTACGCCGCTGCCCTCAGGCGGAAGAGGAAGGACGTAACGCATGACGTAACGCAGAGGGTGAACAGGGAGGAGGTGTCCATCTTATTTACACCGGCACAGATTCATCAACTTCTGGCCTGTCGGAATTTTCACGTTATTAAAAATTGAAAGCTGGGTAAGTTGGTCGTATATCCCACGTAACGGAGTTTAGTTTGTGGTCGCACACGCAGAGAAAGCTCTAAAAAAGCAGCGGATGTTTCTCATGAGGCCTTTTTTCAAAACGATGCGCCATGTTGAAATATCTGTTTATAGCCGCTAGCACAGCTTAGCTTAGCATGCTAACGGTTGTCGTAATAATCGTTAAAAGTTGCCGAAGTCGACACAATATGAACATTGTTTTAATATACAAGAGATAATGCATTTGTTTGATAGCTTTTAAGATCGCAGTGGTTTTATAACTGCACGTTTTTCAAACTTAAATCGGTGGGAACTCACAGAAGCTATCGAGCTAGTTAGCTTAGCATTAATAAGGTTTGAGTTATAATTAATGATTTTTAATCTTTCTCAGTTTAATTAATTACTGTTTTTTATTTTACTTTAGAAACTGTCACAGAATTGTTTTTGTGTTATTCTAATGACGTCAGAGTAATGTGATAAATATAAACAGTATTATTAATTTATCTCTGGAAGTTTTACAGTCAGAGTGTTGAGGTCAAAGGTCAGCAAGAAACTTGTGCTATAAATAGTATAACTAAAACAAGTGTGTATTAATAAACCTTTTTTCCCCTAAAAGGACCCTAAACTGTCACATTCTACCACAGACCTTCATCTGCTTGTTTTCATTTTTATTTTCGGTCACAAAACATTTTGACTAAAAGGTTTAAACTGAATCTTTATCTTATTACACCTCCACATCTTATTATTACACATCTTATTATTTAAGTCACTTACTAGTTTGGTTACAAAAAAACAAAAACAAAAAAAACATATCAGAGCAAAATTTCTTCCAAGAATTTCTTCCAAAACAAACAGAAGTCACAATAAATAATCAAACCGACCTTTTAGATTTTGTTAAACACCATTTTTTAAACAATCTGAGAATCATTTATATTTGAATCACAGGAAGTGAAGGAAACCATGACAACATGTGTCACAGTTTTATTACCAGATAGAAAGTTACACTCTAAATTTAGAACTGCTGTTATAGACTTTAAAAATAAACAACAAGATTAATCACATGTTTTAAAATGCTAAAGAGAGGCATGACTCACTGAGTTACATTTTTAATGACTATTTGTTACAGCCCTCGTCTTTTGTCACAGATATATATTGCAGCTTTTGCCAGCGTGGTCTTCTTGTGCATCTCTGTAGCAGCATGCTGTCAGTCTCTCCTCCGACCCCTAAGTACTTAACCTTTGTCCTTATTTTTATCCTGAACAACTGAACAACAGCATCCATGAACTGAAGTCATTTCAGCGTTTCGATGCCGTATGATTATCTGATGGACGGGAGAGGGGCGGCGATTTGATTACAGGTGTCACTTGACGGACAGGACCGGTACATTATAGGATAATGTCTGATGGTCTGATCTGTAACGTCAACAACGCAGGACAATGGCGTCACGCTCTGTACAAATCAGTTTAGTTATAGTCCCGGCTAATATGTGATGGTTGGCAACCTGAGTTGTATTTACAGATAATTGATTTTGGATTCTAACCGAACTGTTAATCTCATGCAGGTCTTCAGAGATGAGCAGTTCAGAAGAAGTGTCATGGATCTCCTGGTTCTGCGGACTGAGGGGGAATGAATTCTTCTGTGAGGTGAGCCGTCCTAAATCTGAGCCCGATTTAATCTGTGTGTGTGAACTGTGGACCTTCATGTGGTGACATTTAAATGAAGTTGGCATAAAAGCTTGATTTGTAATGTTTAAGCAGAACATCCACATTGATGAGTCAAGTAGAGTGTTTTACCCTCCATGTCGATATGTCTCTTCATATTACTGTCACTCCACACAGGGACATAGTTATCTCTCTCCCTGAGCTAAGAGTAGAAACTATAGTTCAGGTCCTGCATGAAAATCTTTTGAGTTCTGACATTTCAATCCAGATATGTTTGTCAAACCTGAAGGAGGGCTGTGAATAAAACAAACAATGCTTACTTAGTTGTAGAAAAGACAGCATGAAGAAAGTGTAAACTAATGTCTTCTTCTTCTTCTTCTTCTCCTCTTTACATTCTGGGCTTGTTTCTTATATGAAGTGAATTTGTGTTTTCATCATGCACTCAGTAAGAGATGTGTGTGTTTGTTAAGAGATGGGCTTTTTGACTTGTAGATTAGCTTGAAACTATACTTGCATGCCTAAAAAAGAAATTCAGACATTTTGATTCCTGCAACAATAGTGGCCTTTGAGAGACCCCCGCCATATCCAATTTGTGATTGTCGATCATGAATCCCGTCTGTTATATTGGCGTTGGAGTTATCCGTTCTCTTTCTGTATGAACAAGATGAAAATATTACAAGAAACACACTGACTGATAGTTTTGATAAAAGTGAACCTAACCTTTCAGATATGCACTCAGTTCTACAGAATAATACTTTTTCTTTTTAAATTATATTTCTCCTTCTTAAGGTGGATGAAGATTACATCCAGGACAAGTTCAACCTGACGGGGCTCAATGAGCAGGTCCCCCACTACCGCCAGGCCTTAGACATGATCCTGGATCTTGAACCAGGTCTGTATGTTATATTCATTCTACTGAATGTCTGACACTTAGTCATCGGTTGGAAACTGTGAATCTGTTGGTACCATCCAGAAAATTAGCAGAAGTAATCACAGCACAGAAACTAACACTAGATGCTGACCTTCATCGTCATGTATATCAGCTGAGACTGTATGTGTAACACTGATCAGGGGAACTGTAAGCTTCCTTTTTTAAAAGTCTGGTTAGCCTGCTCAGACTGTGAATCCTCTGTTGTCTTTGTTTTATTCAATTTCAGAGTAGCTGTAACTCTCTCTCCCTGTACTTTTGAAAAGTGTCTCTCAGCACTTGAAATGTAGGAACCAATCATGTTCTGTGTTTCCTTTCTGTGTTCAGACGAGGAGCTCGAGGACAACCCCAACCAGAGTGACCTGATCGAGCAGGCAGCTGAGATGCTGTACGGTCTCATCCATGCGCGCTACATTCTCACTAACAGAGGCATCGCACAGATGGTAGGCACCAGCTGCATCAGCGGAAATCCATCACTCTGCATTACTGAAGCTCGTTTTACATTACTGCTGTCTTTATGGGCTGGAACATTACTTAACGGTACATCATGTCAATTATCACATGGGGATGACAATGCTAGATTTTAGATATCATATAGTATCATACTATCACAGTCAGATCTGATTTTACTCTCAATGCAAGAAGATTTTCAGCATTGAGAGCCCTGGATGGATTTATAGCTGGTCTGGTCAGGATGTATCATGCTTTAGTGACAGTACAGTTACTTTGTTGACATTCTTTGACCCAAAAGTTTTATAAAATGCTATTTTTTTGTGCCTAACTTCAGGAGATAGATATTCAACTTTTGGGGGGGATTACAAACCTATGTATTCAGATGCTATTAATGCCCAACATGGTATTGACCCCTTGTGATCTTTTATGTAATGTGACACATGTTTACATTTCCCCTGATGGAGAGATTTTGTCCCTGAGTTAAACGAGCTGATGAGAATATTCCCTTCATATTTATTCATTGTTTTTTTTACCTGATGTCTAACTTGCAGTTGGAGAAATATCAACAGGGAGATTTTGGCTACTGTCCCCGGGTGTATTGTGAGAATCAGCCTATGCTTCCTATCGGTGAGTAAAAAGATGAATTCGATAGCTGTGTTCTTAAATGTAAACAAGTATTAACTCATGTTTCTCAGAGCTAAGGGGAAAGAAGCACAATGTGGTTGATGAATATTAGTATGTTGTGGATTACATGTATTATGTTCATCTCATCATTAAGGATCTTTTTAAGGATTGTTTTTGCATGTTAATGAATAAAAACTGTTCTTTATAAATAATCTGTTCATGGCTTTACATACGCTAAATATACATGCTGTTTTGTTTTGAGAGGGTCTCGTTTCACTCACGGTGTGGTCCCTTTTAAAGATTTAATTCAAACTGACTATTTTCACTTCTTCACTTAATACATACAAACATTTGCTTAATGTAAACAGTTATCTTTCCAACATGAGGGAAAGTTTTAGATAAGAAAGTACTCCTTGGTTCTGAACATAATCTCAGTGTTTCCCCTACCATTATATTAGGGGGGCGGCCCGCCCCTCCAACGGCACCCCCCGCCCCCCTTGATGGTCAAGCTTACTTCAGACTTTTCTGGGCATGTCTCTCTGCCGTTACTCAGGGGATGCGCTGTGAGCATGCTGCATTCAGGGTTGCTCAGACAATGGGAGATGCATTCAGGTGCGCTCAGAAACGGGAGATGCAAGAACAAAAACTAAGCTGGACAGACCATTACAAGTTCAAATAATTATTCAGTTGCTATAGTGACTGCTGTCATTTAAAAAACACAAGAACATCATGATCCCTTTTAGTATCTGTAGTATCATTTTAAATGAAAACCTCTTGAAGGATATTCTCCCGTCTATTATTTATTTTAGTCCTGGTGTGTCACATCAGGTACTGAGCTATACTTAAAGTCAGTACTGTGCCCGTCACAGGTATGGTGTTTATATATTCAGTTGATAACTAAGCCAATGTCTTAATCCACAGGTCTGTCAGACATCCCCGGAGAGGCCATGGTGAAGCTGTACTGTCCTAAGTGTATGGACGTTTACACACCCAAGTCCTCCAGGCACCACCACACAGATGGAGCCTACTTTGGCACCGGCTTCCCCCACATGCTCTTCATGGTTCACCCTGAATACAGGCCCAAGAGGCCCGCCAACCAGTTTGTCCCAAGGTTAGTAAGACAGGTTGACCTGCGACCTCCTGTAGATCCGCACAATGGGTGTAAACTAAACATAAATGAATATAAATTCACTTTTTTGGATATTTAAATTGAGGTGTGTGTGTCCATCAAGGTATTATTTTTTTCCGAGGCTCAGTATTTTTAAAATCCTTTGATAAAGGATCACAGCATCCCAGCAGTGTGACGAGATAATGAGTTTCTATTCCGTGCAGACCGCTGCACTTTGCAAGATTTCATGATGGAGATGCTGTTAAAGAGTCTGATGAAACAGTCTGACTGCAGATGGGATGAACAAACTATATCATCCCAAATGAGTCCAATGTTTAACCCAGTAACCCAAACTTGAAAATATAAAAAAATAGGTTGGACCACCTCTCACCATACACATCGACATATATCGACATACACTAAACACACTGACTGTGCTCCTGTCATTTTTATATTTATTTCAAACATATGCAGCATAAAAGTGCAGAATGGCAGTTAAGTCTGTGACAACAAACTGAAAAAACGAACAAGCCCCTTTTTTAAAGAGGAAGCGATTAGAAATGATCCTGTAACTTTAAAATGTGTGACATCAGGAGATTAATATTCAGCATTACCTCTCACTAAATATGAGTCAGTGAAAAAAGGTGTGCAGCCTTTTTTTATCTTTAAAGATATTCAGAATCAAAGCACAGAAATAAAAACCAAAGTGTCTTTGAAAAACCCAGAGACTCCAAATCTTCACGTGTCATGTCTCCACATTCATTCGATCAAACGCTGTGATGTAATTAAGCGCTCCGTGTTACAGCTCAGTCAACACATCAGACCAACGTGATCGCTTTAGGACTTCCAGAACACATTTAATCTACATCCTCCTCCAGCTTTGTGTTCACAGCCCTGAGTTTACAGATCGTGTCACAGTCCGGGTGGTGTGATGGGAAACATTAAGAACCTAAAATCATGCATCATAGCTCTCTCCCTGAAAGCAAACACACCCATGATGACAACGTGAACGCCCTCATTCATTTTGAGTGTGCATGTTTGTGTTGCATCCTGCCCTTTTTTTATTTGATTTTCATATTTGTAGCCTTTGTTACTTTGAACTTGTGAGAGGAAAAAGACTCACAGATGTTCTTTCCCTTCACCTCAGGCTGTACGGGTTCAAGATCCACCCCATGGCGTACCAGCTGCAGCTGCAAGCCGCGTCCAGCTTCAAGAGCCCCGTCAAGGCCATCCGCTAGAGCGCCGCGGCCAGAGGAGGAGGAGGAGAAAGAAGAAGAGGAAAATTCATAGAGAGGAAAGAATTATCAACAGAAGGGGAGGGGTCACCTGCACTTTACTAAGCTCTCCAGATGCCCCCTCCCCGGCCTGAAGACTGTATTATTTTGGTTTAGATTAGGACAAATGAAAAAGTGTAATGCTTTTTGAGTGTGAGAGAGAGAGAGATAAAAAAAAGACGCACAGCCATTATCTTGAACACAAACACACACACACACACACACACAGTACATAAACACACAAATTCTGCCACACATCTGGGATACCATGCACGTACCTTACCAAACTTCTCAGTGCCAAAAACAGGAGGGGAGATAAAAGAAAAGCTGAAACAGAACAAGAGGATTGACGCTGCTTCACTCACATTACGAGCACACTGATGACAAATTCTATAATCAGTGAAATTCTGGAGTCACTTTTTGCTTCTGGCTCTGTGTTTGGCACAGTTTGGTAAAAGGCGGTGGTAGATCCGTTCTCCTCAATACCAACCCTCCCCTTCCCCCTTTCTCCCTTCAATGCATGCACACTCTGGCTGGCACTCACAGAGACAGTTTGGACGTTGGCAGCGGATGTTTTTTCAGTACGGTTGTAAGATTTGGTTCCTCGTTTTGTCTGAATTTTTTCCGAACATTCTGTTGAATTTGCCTTAAGATTCAGAGAAAACACAGATTGTTTGGGTTTTTTCCAGAGGCACAAACAAGCATTTCTTTCTTTCCACTTCCTGCTGTCAAGAGGACATCGATTATAGATCATTCTAACATTTCAGATAATTGTAATCTGCCCGTGTCATTTTTCAACCTGTCTGTTGTGAATGTGTCAAACGACCGTCTGTAATGAAACCGAAATGAAGATGTAACCTGTGCTACATTTTCAGAGCCCCCCCTCCTCTGTTTATAGTGCCACCCCCCCTGTAGCTTTATCTCCCTTCAAATAATGGTTTGGCGTGATTGGAAATACATTTATATTTCAAAAGCAGTACGGATAAAAGATGACCTCAGGAAGATCATCGTGAGCTAGCACGAGCAGTCAGTTAGCTTCTCTTGCATGTAGGTCAGATAACGGTGAACAGCTAGCCTCTTTCTGTCTTAAAGTAGCAACATCCTCGTACATGCAACCTAATTTATCTTGTTGTTTTAGTGAGTACAACTAACAGACAAGTCACTGAACAGGGGAGGAATACATGCAGCTGTGAGTAGGCAACTTTCATTAACACCACATGATGCTGCTTTTCTGTTTTTTTAAATAACATTATTAAAGTATACTTGATATGCTTATGTTGTCAGGTTAGAGTTGATGCTGGTAGCCACAGGATAGCTTGTTTACAAACCATGAGGAAGTGTAACAACAATACGCTTTTTTGTAGGGTGTGTCTGCTATACGACCTGTAGTGACCCCAGGAAGTCAGCCCTACCAGCTGACGAATAGTTGAGTTTAAAATCATGAAAGAAAGCTTTTTTTTTTTGGTACTTGGTAAACAAATAAGATACAACATCTTAATAAGATTGGGACAGCATGGTAGGCTAGCTGTTCCCCCTGTATCATGTCTTTTTGTTAAGCTAAGCTAACCTACTGCTAGTAGTAAATTTAGTAAAAATAGATGTAAGAGGTAGTTGATGTTTTTTTAATCTATCCTTCTGCCCCAAATGTCAAAGTAAAGATCGAGGAGGAGACTCAGAAAAAGACAATCTGAATCAGCTCACTCCACCGCTGCACTGATCCTGCTGGTGTCTCTCCACAGCACAGTCGTATTATTTATGTTTCACATTTAGACACAGACAGACAGACAGACAGACAGACAGACAGACAGCTGCTTCTTAGTTTTGTTTTTTCTCTCAGAGGGGCAGACACACACACACACACACACACACAGTTGTCCCACCTCCTTTCTCTCCCTTTTTACTTTAGCGTGACTGGAACAGGTTGTTGTTTTTTTGTTTTTTTTGGATTTCATGATACAAGAGAAAAGGTATTTATGTATCCAGATTTTAACTAATGTTTGTCTGTGTCGTCGTCGTCGTCTTTCTGCTACTGTGGAAGGGTGAGCAGGATTCAGAATTCTCAATAAACTTCTATTTTCTTTTCATACTCGTTCGTCTGTGGGTTTCTTTCAGACCGCAGTGCCACCATCCTGCCACACGGTGTCAGTAGAGAGCTCTGTTACATGATGGAACATCTCTGAAACACTTAGTTTTTATTTATTTAATTTAATCTCAGCTAAGAAACGGTAACAACACGGAAATATATATTTTTTAAACACTGTACTGGCATGTTATATTCTTTCTTTGTGTGTTTTTTTTTTAGCTGTGTTGGATTGTCCTCTGGCTAAGATGGTTGTCTTTCTGCTGGGTGTGGTGGTAGGGACTTTTCACATGACTCTGAGTAACAGCAGTGGTAATAGAAAAACAACCACAAACACACAACATACTAACACAGTGTTAACAGATCAACGTGATCTCAAGACCTCGGTCAGCCTCTTCAAATTATTTCTACAACTTTTTTTTTTTCCTCTGCTTTGATTACGTGAAGAAAAAGACTGAATGGAAAATCCCAATTAGCAAAAATGTTTAATATGAAAACATGCTGCCTCTTCATTTAAGCAAATGAAGATGGCAAAACACCTTTTGTACACAAACAGCCCCATATGCCTTCTTTATGTATGACTCATGAGAAGCTTGTTTTTCTTCTCTGCATGGCAGCTGTCTTTGGCAAAATGACTGGCAGGGCTGACTTGTCTTCATGTGGCCGTACCCTGTCAGTTTTTCCAGAGGGAGCTGACGAGGAGGAGGAGGTTCCTTCATGAGTCAGGATAACCTCAAACCACAGCTAAGGACCTGCCCTGCTCCTGCACCTCCTCCCAGATTATTTCAGAAACTCATGTTAACTCTAAGAAGTGGAATATTTTATTGTTTTTGTCTCCAAATGTTAGTCCTGGAAACATCACAGGTGTTAAGGCTTTAAAGGAAACCCCCATATGTTGCACTGAGCACATGTGACACTGCAGAGTTATAATCATGTCGGAGCTCACACTGCAGTCATGTGAAATGTTCTGCCTCTGCCACACCCAGACGACATGTTGCACCATTTTCCACTCTGGGATTTGATTTGGGATTCCTCTCTACAGATGATTCAACTATAAAGGAAACACACCCAGAGATATACTCCAAATGTTTTTTTCTTGGTTTGAAAATGAGGCTCTACTTTACACATGACTGACTTAACAAGACAAGTTAAAGCTGACTGATTCAGCCTCTTAAGTAACAACAGAAAATATTGACTTCTCTTGGATTTTCTTTCTCTCGTCACATCTAAGCATAGATGTTCACAGTTAACTGTTTTCACACATGTGCTCCTGAAAATTTCTAGGAAATTTCCGTACAGCCTGCCCCTGGAATCTTCCCAAGCTGCTCATTCACATACATCCCCCCCCACAGTGCAGAGCGTCCCTGTTGGATGGGAGGGATTGGTGGAGGGATCTCATGAGGCGTAAAAAACAATACTGCAAAACAAGATTGTTGTGCATGTGTGAAAGCAGCTGTAGATTAACCTTTGGCAGCTGGATTGGGAACTGGAGGTTCACCAGTTCAGACTATGTCTGGAAATTGGTCTGGTAGCTGTAGAGTTGCTGGTTCACTTCACTGAGAAATGCCCAGATAGAAACCTTTCAATAAGTCACTCAACCCCAAACTGGTTGGACACTCTTCCATGTGCAGCCCCCCCCCCCCCCCCGCCATCTCTCTATCAGGTCTATATCCTGTTAGTGCATGTGTGTATTTTGGTGCATGTGTGTGTATCATTTGTCAACAACAGAGTGGAAAAATGTAATGTCCACTTGAGGACTAAAAAAGTTTATCTTCTTGATTCTATCACAACAGGTCGCAATCAATTTTGCACATCTGGACTCTTGAGAATTTCTGTGTCCAGGCCGTCAGGTTGCAACAAACTCTCATTTGGATTCAGATTCAGATTCTGACTCGTAAAGTTTGAGTCACTTCCTGTATTAGTCGTTAACCCTCTGAAGCCTTTCAGGGCGTCCTGCAGAGAACAATCTTTTGAGCACAATGACTCATGGTGTGGAGTTACCTGTCCAAACGGCCTTCACCTGAATGTAGACTCTCTCATCGGCCTTGGCTGAACTCACATGAGATTTTAAATATTAACATGGACACTTTACGTTTTCTCTACATTCTTACTGCATTCAGATGTATTCAACAAACCACATTTGTAGATTCTGAATCGTCCAACCGTTGACCTTATCTTTTTAATTCCCTTTAGTTGTTTCTGTGTGTCTGTTTCTACACAGGTAAACTCAATTTAAATTATTATACATGCAATAAGAAGTCAAAAGGCTGAACAGGTGTGACATCTTGTCTTTGTTTCATACTTTAATTTAGAGAAAGTTCATGTATGTTTTCACTTGAACTCCTTTTATCTTTCTTCTGTTCATCAGTCCGAAAAGATCCACCTTAAATTCTCCTTCTTTGTGCTTCCTTGTCTTCTTTCCCCATTATTTGGATTTTCTTATTGGCTTTGCTGCTATAGCTGCTACTTGAGGAATAGGGATTAGTTTGGCTTGTTTCCCCGACACGCCCTCATCTCCAGGCGACAAGGGTTGAGAAACTCTGAGGATCTGTGGGCAAGACAATAGAGGCATTTCACCGGCTCCAAACAAACTCCCTCTCTGCAAAGTATTTCAAAACGATGACTCTGGAGATGCCATTTCATAACCCCTCACCACCCCTCCAGCAGGAAACCAAACGAAGCCCCTTTTTAAAGTGCCATGCAGAGATAATCATTAAACAGCACACACACACACACACACACACGCGCACACGCACACACACACACACACACACACAGACGGACGGCAAACATTCCATCCACCCAAAAAAAAAGGCGGTCTGTCATTCTGTGACCAAAGTGGACAAACAAACTGAAAATCTCCGTAATCACTCAGAGCATGACTCCACTTGTCACTCGTTCACTACATTCTTTTGTCATCTCTTAATAAGTTACTTTAACAAACACAGAGAAATGCTCGGGGACAAACTCCGGGCGAGAGGGGACTTGTTTACTGTCAGAAAATGAAACTTGGATCCGATCCATCAAGGAAAATAGATTTTATCACCACGTCTTTTTTATGAAACTCAGAATGAGAGGAAAGGCCTGCAGACACCTCCCTTCCTCTGTTTTAAAAAAAATGTTTTAAAACAATCAAGGGGGTCTGCGACAGCGTGGAGGATCGAGTCAACTGACAACAAACAATAACATTTAGATAGATTGTTATCCACAACACATGCAGTGGTTTCAGGAGGGTCTGTGTTAGTTCTACAGATTCTATACATGTTACCGTTAAGTTACCGTTAAGTTACCGTTAAGTTACTGTTGATCTGTTTCCAACAATGCAACAAAAACACAAAGTGGAAATCTTCTGAAAAAAACATATTGCATGATTGTGTTTGTTTGACGTGAGACAAAAAACATCAAGAAGACAAAATCAGAACAGAAAAGAAAACGTAGCTCAACAAAATCTCACTTTCTGATCCTGATCAAATGGACCCGTGCTGCAGCGACACACATGACCAGCTGCATGCTGCTTATTTCACTGATTGTTTTGTTTTTTTAAAGATTTATTTTTGTGCTTTTTTTGTGCCTCTAATTAAGAGATAGGACAGTGGACAGAGCCAGAAATCAGAGCGAGAGAGAGAGAGAGAGTAGGGAATGACATGTGGAAAAGGAGCCACAGGCCGGACCCGAACCTGGGCCGCCCGCTTGCTTGGAGGACCACAGCCCCCACACACGGGGCACGCAGCACCAACCACCACGCCACCAGCTCGTTTTTTTTTTTATCCAATATATTTCTTATTGTAGTTGTTCAGTGCAGTGGTTTCCAACCTTTTTTTCCTTGGAGCATTCCCTACTTAAGAAAAGCTGAGAAGCGGTTCTAGGGAGGGGCCAACAGGGGCCAGTGCCCCTGTAACTCTGAGCTCGGTCCCCCCTGTGGCCACCCCCCCCTCCAAAAGGAAGAGCCCCCCTAATAACGCATACACAGTATTTGAGTCACAATCTAGTATCAAATTCTGTTACTGAAACAAATATAAATCATGGTATTTAATGATGTGGTCTATCATTTGGCATAATATATATTTCTTAAAGGCTTTATATGTGATTTCTTTGATCCAGCAGATGTCGCCCTTGAGCACCAGCATGAAACCAAAACAACTCACGCTGCATTGTTGTGTTAGCATGCTAATGCTAGCGATCTTTATTATGCTGGTATCTTCACACTGCATGTAAATTTACCTGAAATGAGCGTGATCTAGAAACACAGTTAAGCAGTGAGTACAGTATGTTATTCTTCTTTTCTCTAGTCCCTCAATTAAACAACTTTTATCCGCGAGGGGAGGAGTCAGCCGGCCGTCTTGGCGATGTAAACAAAGTGAAGATAGGACTCTGAAAACTCTGAAAACATCACAGACAGTGGGACTCGGGTGTTACACCCATTGTAGGGTTGTGGTCTGTGAGTCACCCATCATGACTTGAGTTATTTTCAGAGGATATACTTGATTTATATTATATTTAAGAGTGAAAAATTGCATATTAAGCCTTTAAATTAAAGAGGAAGTTTTGAGGGACATTTTTTTGAAGAAGTTAAATTCTCTGTGTCTGTGAAACTGGTGTTATTATCTGATCTGTTCCTCTTGTAATGTCTGTATGAAAGTGTTTTATTCTGTGGTTTGTGTCTCAATGCTATGTTCAACCTGTACAATATAATAATGCCATGTTTGTTATAGTAGCAAGCTTAACAATGTTTGTATTAATCCGGGCATATAAAGCCTTTAAAGTGATCATCTTTGTCTATTTTTCTCCTGGGTTTAATGTTCCCCTCTGACAAAACTACTCGCCCCAGTTTGGCCCCCTCAGTAAAAATGGTCTAGAACCGCCACTGCTTATTCTACAACCAAAAGCAGAACAAATCACTTTAATGTGTGCATGTCAGAAGATGTAAGTTCTTCACAGAGTTTTAAATGTTCTGCTTTTATCCTGTTCAGAAAATGCAGATTTTTAAGCATTTCCCAACCTCAAAATCTGATCAGTCTGTGTTTTAGTTCAGGGCAGTAAGCGACTCCTCATATCTGTTATTTTTTCAATGTCTTGTGTCTGTCATCCAAACGTGTTTCTTGCCTTGAGGAAAAACCTGCAAATGATTTGAAGGAAGTCTGAGTCAGCGAAAGAGTCAAGTTTTTCCTTATCTTTGCTTCCAGAGAACTCACATGTGTAGTTAAATCTTACTCTGAAAGTATCATTTCTATAACTTTAGATCAGTGACAGCATGTTCTGTAGCAGTCATCTGTTTAACAGGAGATATTAGACTCAAACGTAATATCTACTGCGTGTGTGTGTGTCATGTGTTAAACATCCCGTGAGAGGCTGTGATGACACATTTTCTGTATTTTTTTAGGTACAGCTTTAAGACTTAAAAAGGATCTCAAAGGATGTGGTTCAAAAGAAAATGTAGCCTACATAAACTTGTGTTTTAGTACAGACTTTTAATAAACGTAAAACTTTATATTATCTGTGGTATTCTTATTGTATTTGTTTTACTTTTAGAACTGATTTTAGCCCTGATGTAGATTGATGTTCAATCAATCAATCAAACTTTATTTATATAGCACCTTTCAGACAAATTAAATTGCAGTTCAAAGTGCTTTACAAGAGTTCAGAAAAGTTATTGACAAAAAAATAGTTTATAAAATCAATGAGAGACTAATGCACACCAATAAGAATTAAAAAATATGTATAAAAATGAAAAAATAAAATACGACACAAAAGCAACAAGATATTAAAATTAATACATAGAAGAAGAATATTTAAAATTGTCGTAGGATAAAAAAAGACAACACAATAATGTAAAGATTTGAATTGTTTCATGTTTTTCCTGCTGTCACTCTGCTCGGGGCTGAGAGTAACCTACAGCATTTTTTTTTCTTTTTTTATGCAGAAACATGAGAAAAATTACAAATAAATGGATTCTTGAATCTTGATCTTTCCACCACTGAATAAAGATTCCCCTTGACCACCTTTTAAACTATAATAGGACTGTAAGGTAATACCTGTTTCATTTCCCAAACGTCACCTCCCTGCTAACTGGCTCATCTCCTCCCATGTAGCCTACCTGTGACTCCTTCAGGTGGGGGAGCCGGAAATAAGAAAACAAAAAAAAAAGAAAAACTGGGTGGACTTCCCAGAAGACCTCCTCTGATTGGATAACGGTGACGTTTAGGATGGGAGGAGAAGATTATAAATGCAGAGATGGCGGATAAAAGTTAGTTTTTTGATCAGTAATATAACGGTCCACACAGGAGCCAGACCAGTTCTCCCAGTAAGTCTAAGTCCAGTTGAAAGTTTGCAAAGATGAACAGAATTATCCTCCAGCTTTTCGCAGTCGGATTCTGCTTTGCTCTCGGTAAGAAAATATCCCTACTCTTGTTTTTAGTTTATTTTTTAAATGCATGTTTTCATTTTAGGTTTTTTAATCACGAAGCACTTGAACGCGCATTTAGGCTCTTTATTTTATTTTATTTTATTTTTTATTTTTTATTAAAACAGGAATTGCAGAGATAACTTAACCACAGAAAGGTTAACCGACAAAATATCTAAATGTGTTTTTCTGCCTGAAGTTTGGTGTTTGTTTAACACAGGTTTGTTTACCTTAAACTATCACTTCATGTCCTTAAGGTTTCTGTGTTTAAAGGGGACTTTTATTCGACACAAGTTTGAGGATTCAGTTTCTTAATTTGGTGATTTTAGGCTACAAAAAGCTACCAGGCTCAGTTTTACATTCATGTTTAATTTTATTTTAAATACAAGGGGAACTCTCCCTGAGTTTTTCATCCTCTCCGGACAGAATCCTGTCAAACACGTTTTGTTGAAGTTAAACTGTTAAATATTTGACTTTTCTCTCAGAGGATTTGGGACATGTGCAGCCTAACATTTGTTCTCACTGGCAGAGCTCAGTGTTGGAAGGTGCAGAGCAGTTTGAGTGATTTCTTTGGACTGGGTGTGTTCCCTCTGCTTTTGATGTGGTCACAAATACATCTTAATGACAAGTGGACCAAGACATGCACACCTCCCTCCAGGATGATTTCATGCACATGCAAAAATATGGAATGGAGATATGTTAATGCTGTGTTATCATGATTTAACATGTTTTCCTGACTCTGTGGAATATGATCCTCATCGTCTCGAACAACACCCTACTTCATGTAGGATGTTGTTTATAGAGACCATCAAAAATTCCGCCTGGTAATAAGCCTATCCTGTTTTTGGTTGACATGCAAACAAAGTGTTTATGTGTTGAGTTAATTAAAGTTGGTCGGTATAAAAAGTTTAAGTTGTTCACTGAACAAATTAATTAGCAGGTCAAATAATTAGCTGGAGGCAGGTAAATAGTCAGCTACTGTATACATACACAGTTATCTTAAAGTCATAAACAAAGGGCAAAAGTGGTTAGCTAAAAGTTGAATACTCAGCCTATCGCTGACTAAAAGGTGAAAAGGTTCGCTCAGGGAACTTGACAACCAGAAGTGATTAGCTAAAGAGGATGAATAAATGGTGTAATTTGTTTATTGACACAGGTTGAAATAGTAAGCTAAATGTTGTGAGTTTAACAACAATCAACACTCAGAGCTGAAAATAAGAGTCTGTTGGCTAGATTTTAAAATGCCAAACTTACTTATTGGATTTCATCTTCTGAATATCTTTGGACTAATGTGAAATCTGAATAAATAGGACTTTGAATCGATTATTGATATGCATTTTTTTTGCCACATTTTCTAAGTAGGCCCATAGATTGAAAAGAAAAATAAAGATTGTTAACAAGTTTATCAAAACATGTCAAATCCAGATTCCCACAGATGACTCAAAGTAGCTGCAGTGTTTTTGCTCTATGTGCACATCCCATGATTTACTCTAATGTCGTTATTACAGGTTGGGGTGAGGCAGTCTAGTTTGAAAAAGGAAAAAGAAAAAGAACATCTCTGTACCACAGACGTTATTAAAAGACTGAATCATGTCCCGACCTGCCAGCCATTTCATGAGAAATTCCTCACCCTGTGTTTGAGGCTTTGCACAAGTCTCAAATTCCACTTCTAGTCTGCAGAGTGCGTTTACTATATACGGGCTGTTTGTTGTTCTACTTTTGTGTTTTGGGGCTATTGTTGAGCATTTTTGTTCTCGGGATCCCCTCAGCTCAGCTGTCATGGAGTCCCGTTTCACACCACACCCTTTGTAGCGGGAACTATTTTCCAATCTCTAATTTGTTTTTACACTTTCAGGCAACATCTTCGACCTTTTTCATAGCCTGAAATTCTTTTGATAAAATGGAGTTAGTGACAGAAAAAGTGATTCATATTTGTAGATAACAACATACTGAGACTTCATATCCTTCGTTTAAGTGACCAGCAGGAAGGGTGGGTGTGGGTGTGTGGGTGTGTGTGTGTGTGCGTGTGTGCGTGTGTGTGTGTGTGTGTGTGTGTGTGCCCGCCCTGAGGGGAAAGTTCGATGATTCAGATGGCGGTGTGTTTTGGTTTTCCAAGTCAACATGTTACAGACCACTGAGAGGTTTCCCAAAGCTTCAGCTTCAAGAAAAATAGACAAAAAATGTGATCGTCTTTGTCTCTGGTTACTTTTGAATCCAGATGTCGGAACATTTTTTGAAGTCGTAAGTAGAAAATCTAGAAGAAACAGTTGATTTAACGTTGTTAACACTTAGCTACATTTTAACAAACACATAGAAAGTAGTAAGCATACGCTAATCAATAAACCTTAGACCTGAGCTGCTAAAACACTAAACTGTAGGTCAGAAGTGTACTGATGAAAACAGACAGACAGGACAGATGGACTCGTGGAAGAATAAGTTAGCTTAAAGTGGTGGAAAACCAGGTGAACAAGAAAGTCAAAGTAATGGACAAACGGAAGAAAAAGTTTGCTCAATGTAGTGGACATATACAGAGGAAAAATGTATCTACCTTTTTGGAGGAAAAAGTTAGTTAGAAAATGTGGAAAAATGAACCATCAGTTAAAACCGTTTGCTAAGTAGAGGACAAACGAGGCCAAAGTTACTCAAAAGTAAGTATTAAACAAACGATGACTATAAGAAACTTTATCCATTACTGTAGGCTAACCATTAAGTTAAAGTACCGGACGTTTTTAATAGACTAAGTAAACAATTGGGGGCTTTAAGGGTAAGAGGTTACATGCAACGTATAGGCTACATCGTTAACTTACTATTATGCTTTCTCAGACTTTAATTATTTTCAGAATTAAGAATATTGTCAAGTTTTGTTTTATTAACGTTAAAAAAATAAGTAAAGTCCGCAACACAGAGGAGGTAATTTGATGCTGCTCCTCTCAGTCTGGATACTCCCATCCTTCAAAGATGTCGACATTGTTTGTGAGCTTTAACCACCTTGCATCCAAATGCAAACCCGAGATATTTACACAACACACCAGAACCACCCAGGTGTGTTTAGCTTCACCTTCAGAGATGTTTTAGTGTTTGGATAACATTTATCTGAATCCAGAGGCGGCTTTGCATATATACCCTCATAACATTTCTCATGAACTTGTTCACATGTCATATTTCAAATACTGTATACATGTTGGATGATGTGACAGCACATGACTCAAAGTTGTGTGTCTAATTGAAGTTGTGAGGTTTACATATGTTTCCTTCAAAGTTAATCCACCAAGTGAGTGGGAGACGGTCTCTTTCTAAAAAGAAAGAGGTGAAATGGATTTTAAAAAATTTAATATTTGGAGCTTGTTTTGACAACTCAGCTGTTTCTGTAGTCACAGGTATAAAGCTCTTGTTGAGATAATGACATCATGTTGACATTAGGGGAAAAAAACACTTGTTTGAACTAAAAACAAACGATTTGAACATATTTTGCAACAGGGATGCCCTCTGGTGGAAGTCTATGGTACTGAACCTCAGCACAGTCATGAGTGCTGTAAAGACACCACAAAGAAAGAATCTCCATTAATTGTATTTTCCTTGATACTAATTCAAACTGAATGTTTAGTCCTCCAAACAAATTCTTTTGAAACATATTTAGTTATTCTGCTGTTTGTTTGTGTGTTTGACTCTATTCTGTGTTCCTTGATGAACCTGATGGGCTGAAACTCCATGATCTGTAGTTTTAGTGATAGAGCTGTAGAGGGCAGTGCAGGGCTGAGTCTGCACTTTGATTCAGTAACATGACCACACCTCAAATCAACATTGTTCATTGCTAGACTGCTGAACAATGCAAAGGCAGAGTCAGTCATACCCTTTTTTCCCAGTTGAATTGCAGCACCTTAAGCTCAATGTTAAAGAAATAATAACTGCAAATCACTACATTTGACATCCCCTTTCTGTGTTTTTTGCAAATGAGAGTGTGTCAACCTTTTTAAGACTTAGCTTACTGTCGAGAGTAAGACACAGATTGTATTTTTTAGCAGGGAAATGGAGACACATCCATCATTAATCACAAATAACAAAACAAGTTTGGAGAATCTACTGAGAGGATATCATCAAAAGTAATTCTCAAAGGTAGAGTGAATTATGGGATATGTAGTTTATTTCTTAAGAGAGTTGGGGATGACATGCAGCAAAGAGCCAAGGTTGGATTTGAACCCTCGGGCACCGAGACGAGGACTATAGCCTAAAGCACGTGACATAGCAACCTGGCTACCGGAGCTCAGATCCCATTTTGAACATTGTTGAAATGTTATTTTGATAGGTTAAATAAACTACGGCTTCATAAACTACAGATGAGAACAGAGACACAGACTGACATTGATTGATTGATGTAGAGATAAATAAAGGCTTATTGAAAGCTCCAACTACACAATCTACAACTCGTCTTGAGTTTTAGAAAAGATATCATGTCCTAAATCGTTTTTTTCATTACGCCTAGTTTGAAACACTTAAAGACTATTAAATAGATTTATTTTTCTACCTTTTATTGAAGAGACAGGACAGTGGATAGAGTCAGAAATCGAGGAGAGAGTGTGAAATGATATTCAGGAAAATAGCCTCTGTGCATGGGGGGGGGGGGGGGGGGGGGAGGGGTATGAATCACCCACTAGGCCACTGGCGCCCCACATTATATTTACACTTTAACAGAATTAAACTTTTTAAAACTGTTCAAACTAAATTATTATGTTTCTCTTTAAAGTTATCAATATAGGTTTGTCAACATTTTTCTCCCTTGTGTTTTATAACGTTACTGTCTTCGTTCTATTGTAACATAAAGTACCAAAGCTTTACGAAACGTAGTTTAAAGGTTTAATATGTGATTTTTCACTCTTAAATATAAATCAAGTATATCCTCTGAAAATAACTCTGTGAGTCATGACTGTCTACAATGGGTGTAACACCCGAGTCCCACTGTCTGTGATGTTTTCAGAGTTTTCAGAGTC